CGGGGGATACATTCGCATTGCGCGGCAATACAGATTGCGATATTTCTAGTTATTTCTTCAATTCATACTTTCTCAACATATAGATAGAACTTTTTGTCAAGTCTGTTATTGCAGGGGGCATTAGCAAAATAATTTGCTCTATCTTGATTTGAGAGAAACTTTTGATTTTGACCTCCCTCCCCCTCCCCCTCCCCCTCCCCCTCCCCCTCCCCCTCCCCCTCCCCCTCCCCTGGCACAATTAATGACATTTAATAACATTTCATGTTCTTACTGTTTGCTTACATTTGTTATTTTGTGATTTCATCATCAGGGAGAGCTGATTGTTGGTGACCAGAGTGGGACAGTACACATATGGGATCTACGGAGCTGCCATAACGAACAACTGGTGAGTCAAGATGTATTCTTAAAGCCCCACTGTACTACTTATAGCTACTTGCGCCCTCTATATAGCAAACAATGCCTTAACGGTGCCCGTTGGTCCCCCATGATCCTCTTTTTCTTATGTTAATTGAGAGCTGATTTGATGAGATAACCACCTGTCAGTGACCTTGCAGGGAGGTCCAATAATCCCTCCTGGCCAAACTAGTGCAAACGGGCTTTAAGAGAGTAATTATTGTTGCTTTCTTCTATGGAAAGGTTGATTTGATCTAGCTTTTCTTCATGTCCTATTTATACATTCCTGTAGCCGGATGTCATTGTTGAGTGAAATAATGACAACATTATCTGTATTAATCACCCTGAAGAATTTCCAAAGAGCAAGCAAAAACATTGCCCAGGATGCACTCTCGTTTATAGGGAATAGGGATGCTTACTCCAGGTACCTGTAAGCTTGAACAAGCACAATAAGTCAGTCATTCTGGCAGTCTTGTGAGCCGCAAATCTGAGATGCATGGCCCTACGTGTTATCAGCGTCTGTGCATATGGTTTAATATTGAAGCCCTAACAAAATTGTGCTTCAAAATGATCATGAAGTGCCTCAAAAGAGTAAAAATATTTGAGTGACTGGTTTTACCATACTCATTTTCCCAATAGACTAGTGTTATAAAAACCATTGTGAAAATGGTTTTTGAAATTTCGAATTCCAATCATAAATATCTTGATAATCAAATGAGCGATCGGCTTGTAAAAGTCATGGGATTCATGACTGACCTCAAGGTTTATAATTATGATTGCAGCATGAGCTAAATCCAGGATTTTTATTAGAATCGAGACAAAGATACCCAATCCCTTTAAAAGGGTATTTATAGGAGCTGTGAGCAGTTTAGCTCTAGAAAGCGACAAAAGAGCTCTGGAGAACAGGAAGACAATGAAATAACAACAAAAGTCACGGCAGGGAAATCACATCGGATCCAAAAAGAGCTTTTGTGCACTTATTAGGGCTTTTATACTGCTCCTGAGCATGCAGTAAACTCTTTTGTATATATTCATTACATTCTCCCCTCGATTTATTCAGGTTCCAGAGCAGAACTCCTCCATCCAGTCGATAGCCATAGACCCTGAGGCGACCCATATGGCGGCTGTCAACAACAAGGGCAACTGCTACGTCTGGAGGATCACTCAGGGTCAGGGTGACGGCGCCCTCTCGCAGCTCCATCCCAAGACAAAGATTCCCGCTCATAAGAAGTATGGCCTCAAATGCAAGTTCAGCCCGGACTGCACGTAAGTGGAGACATAACTCTTTTAGAATTTGTCCGTTTTTAAGGAAAGAAAAGATGACCATTGCATATGGTTATCTCTGGAGATGCCCCACCCAGAAAGGATGAACGAATGGATGGTTATACGAAACATGCTCTGGTAGAATTGCTCTGCAATCAATGTCCTACACTGACCAAATAAATCACTTTAAGCCTGGACCCTGCACCTAATCTTAAAGGAAACCTCACCCCAAGAAATAATTTTACTTATTCTGAGAGATTCATTATATTCTTGCCCATTAATCTACAAGATTCCCCACCAAAGTGTATGAGAGAGGCATAAAGCAAGAATAATGTGTCAGCGGATCTGAATACCAGTAGATAGTTGCTTCATAAAGGATTGTTTTTTGGTGTTCAAACTTTGCAAGTTAACTTTATCTTCTTGAAGTTTAAAACCTGACCCATAACTTGATTTTGATGAAATTTTCCCCACAAGGTTACTAGCGACCACATCGGGAGATAAATCGGTGCGTATCTGGAGGACGGCAGACTTCTCTCTAATGCAAACGTTGAGTGTAGACATGCAACAGTGGGTATGGGACTGTGCATTCTCGTCTGATTCACAGTATGTGGTCACAGGTAAGGCTTGTATGATGTGTTAACATATATTCATTTTTTTTAAAAGTTTTTTTGTTTCTTGTAACCCATTTTTATACAATAAGAGTCCACATCCTCAACGGCTTTGACTTTGGAGCCTACAAAATATACCAGAAGCATGAGCAAAACTGAGTCACCTTTATTAATTTATCTATCTGTATTGAATTGTGATGTATTGCTCGACTCCAATGCTACAATAAGAAAATAAAAGATAAGAAAGTCTTATTATTGGCAACACATTGAAAGTTCAAAATCGCTGCTCTTCAATACAAATAGAAAAACTCCCGACCATCTATTCTTTTCAGATTGAATTCGTTTTTTATTTAAATAGTGTTCAATTAAAGGAAAAATATACCAGTGTTGTCAAAGTTAAAAAAGCGGATCAAATAAACCTTTTAAAAATCCCAGTCTTCAATATGTTTATTCCATCAAGGACTTGGATTTTTGGATGGTCTCAAAAATCACCAATTCTTCTTAAATCTGGCTAAACTGATCTTTTTCCATATTTTTTAAAATTTATGTTTTATTGATCATTCGTAATCATATTTTTACAAACATTCATAGGAGCGATTACAGTAAAAACAAAAATTTAGTTGCGGCGATACACTATTCCAATAAAGAAAAATAGATCTGAAATGAAATAAAATATATAAGAAAGTATGTCAATAATTTGGCTCTAAATGTGAAAAAAATAACAACATTTTGATATGAGAATACTATTTCAAAATTGAATTTGTTGGAGTTTCAGAAGCAGGAGTTTGATACCAATGTTGACACACTTTGATTATTTCTTTTTCTTCCCAGCATCATCTGACAGGACAGCTCGGTTATGGAGCATAGCGGAAGGCGAGGTCAAACGAGAGTTCAACGGTCATCAGAAGGCCATTACCTCGCTAGCTTTCTGTGACAACATCACCACATAGACTCACCACTTACACTGCTCATGCACTGTGATGCAATCACTGTCAAGATGTATAGATGCCATGAGATTTGTCATGGAAAACTTGTGATGTTCTGTGATAACATGATAATTTCGACCTAGTGATTGTGATGAGCATATATCACCTGTACAAAGGATGTTAGATATCTGGGCCCGTCTTTAATACAAAGAGTTGATATCAATTGCACCTTTGTACGTAGGAGATAGGAGACTGCAAACTTGCAATTGATTGAAGGCAATTGCAAATCTTTGTAAGTTGGGGCCCTGGACAGCTGTGGTGCTTGGAGACTTATTTTTCTCAAAGTAGTACCGCCATGGTGTGGACAGCAGTATTTGTTGAATTGTATTATACATGTACACAGTTTTCATCTGTGATTTATTCTGATTCTGTGATTTATAAAATGAAGATATATATTTTGTTTTTTTGTCCTTATTCTGTTCCATGAAAGTGTAGTGTGGTGGGACTCAGAGTCAACACTCTATAGTCAGGTGTAAACTTTTAAACACAACACTGGTCTGACTTGTTTTTCAATACAGATCGATCAATCAATCTTATTTACTGGGTGTAAGCCACACATATGTTTAAATAACACTGGTCTTGTTGGGCCCCTCTTACTATTTAGTTGACAGAAAAGTTTGCAGAACTCAACTTTAATTTCTTTTTCAAGACATCGGCTTCATGCTTATGAGAATTTTCTGGATTGTCCAAAGTATGAACCAAGCATGAAGATCCAGGCACGAAATTGTGCAGAACTGTATCGATAAGTTGCCTTTTTACTTTATTTCATGCAAAAAAAAGGGAAAATATGAAATAATTCATATGGTATTTTTCAAGGTTATACACCACTATATCAACAATTATGACTTTTATAATTACTCACATAATATATCCAGAGCTCATTAGATTAAGTATCTCTGCATTGTATAGATGTCTAAAATATTCAAACAATATACAGATGTTCACAAAATGTGCAATTTATCTTTTTTATGTCCTATTTTGTAAAGAAAAAGATAATGCAAACATTCTGTTGGGGTAATTTTTTTTTTTTCTTCTTCTTTTTTGCTGCAAAGAAAGGGCTCTGAGTTTTGAAAATGATGAGAACTTTAAAAAACTCTACACAACTGCAGACAGTTTTACCCTACCCATTTCTACCCAATAGTACATTTGTCAATATTTTTCTTGAGCATCAACAAGGCGAATAGAGAGAGGGAAACATATGGTTTATATGTTACCCGGGATATCAAAGTTAATCTAGATATGGTAGATATGATTTAAAATTAAAAGTTAATGTATCGGACAGGTTTAGATTGACCATTTTGACGGGGGAAGTGTAATTCTTGACTTCAGTCTTACCAGTAAATCAAATTTGAGCGTATCATAGGTGCTGTCTGTTTTTTGACTAAATTTCAATTGATGCCAATTTCACTCTCAATACTTTATTAATTTGTTTCACTTTTCCTTGAAGTCAAGTTTTAAAAGGACCCAATTACCTCTTGTCTTGGGCATTAAGACGATACGATAGGCAGTAGATTCATGTGATTAGTGTAGTAAGTATATTGTAGTTCATTATGTCTATTGTCAATATGATTGAAGTAATGATAAATATAAACCTGTTGCAGGTGAACTTGTACAAAGAACTGTAAATAAAGATTATGATGAAATGACACGATACTGATGCAGTCTCTCCTGTTTTTTTTTTTACCTATAAAATCCAGATGTTATCGTCTTTAGTTTGATGGAATGTTTAAATATCAAAGCTTGGCAACAATTTGGTCTGAATTTTGCTATTTAATATCTGAAGTATGAGGATTTAAACTTTTTATTTTACAATGATAACATCTACATAATATTCACACAAATATGTACATACATATACATGTAATTGAACTACATTCTATACAAGCAAAACAATTATCATGGTTTAGAAAACACATCTGGTGTATGCATTGCAAACTTCTATTTTTGGGAAAAGCTCAATAAAAGGGGCTTATTCATAAACAGTCATTGAATGATCACACTTTTCAGCCATCTCATTAAAATATGATTCAAATTTAGCCTGGAACGTGTTACTAATATAGACATGTTTTTGAAACAGGTACTTTAGTACTAAACAAGATTTCCAGTATGTGTTCCACTCCCATTGCTTCATTTCAGGAAAGTTGCATCCAATAGATTTAGGATTTTGCACGAGTACAATTTCATGTATTACAATGCATAAAGCTGCGCACTGATTCTAACAAAGAAAGTTGCACTATCTTTCAAATATAGTATATACAGAGACTGAAAATCACTGATTGGTATAAATGTATGATGTGACCTATCTAGGTCATCAAAAGAATCTTGTTTGGATTCCCATGCAGGAAAATATCTACGGCCAGGATATCACATCAAGTTTTAAAATGACATGGTAGTTTGGATCTCAGAAAACTGTTAAAAAGAACTATACGTTAGAAGTATACCATACATCTAATAAACAGTTGCTGCAAAGAATGAAAGGATAAATTGTCAAAACAGTTTAATGACATTGATTAACAATGAAGGCATTGATAGTAATCAATTGTTGTACAGCGCATAAAACATGAAATCCCTGTCTCGATACAGTTTGGAAAAAGGTACCCTAGATTCAGCTCTTGCTGCCACTGTGCATAATATTTCATTACAAGGGATACCTCTTACAAGTTAGCCATTCACTGCACCTGGATCGAGAGTGGCAACGGTAGATGCAAGTCTTCCCAAAGGACATCAGTAGCATGCCAAAGCTGCAAAACTTCCCATGTTCAAAACACTTGACTTTCCAGCACCAGTATAACCCATCCAATCATGATTCTTGATTAATTGCATTCTCACGCCGAATTAAATCAGGATTAATAATTGATTAAGAAATATGCCAACCCTGCTACACTCAATAACAAGTCATAAAGGATTACAAATAATCTGAGTTACACTACTATGAAGAAGAAATATGCTGTCACTACACATGAATCAGTCACAATATTTACAAATAATATATATCTACAAGACTTGATAGTAATTTTAGGATGAAAAGGCAGCTCTATCACGATGCTATCGTCTTCATCACTTCCACTCTCTCTTGGTACAGCTTGTAGTACGCATTAGCCAGGTAGTAGAATGGTGCATCGGTGTTGTTTTGCTCCTTCTGTATAGAACGAATGAGTAAAATGAGTGTTTAATCAGAGAGAATTACTTAAGGCTCTCAACAATGCACTAAAATATGATGGAATTACCTATTGTTATCGATTAAAAGTTTAAATTTCATTCATGCATATTGGGTGTTGAGGTGTGCAAAATTTTGAAACACCTGCAATAAGGATCACTATCACTCACAGTAAGTTTTGGTGAACTGCTTTACATGACAAATATGTGAATAATATCTAGGTGGGGATGTTAGGAAATTCTGATATTCAACTCATCAATCCTTCCTACGCTGGCTACCCTTCTGAAAACTATCCATCGTGGCAGAATATGCAGAAATGAAGAAAACAGCTCATCATAACTGAGTTTAGCTGGTCCATGAAAGCTAAGCTAGGCGCACCAAAAATTTCCGATCCATGTACATGTTCTATTCGTAGCTGTATAGAATTTAAGCTTACACAGTCCCAATGATTGGGACAAGTCCGATAGGATTCAGAAACATGGTTGAGGTTGATACTCACAGCAGAACACTCAAAGTACTCCAGTCCTTTGCCCTTGGCAAACTCTTCAGCCTTGTTCCTCTCCACGACCCTGCGTCCTTCAAGGTCCGTCTTGTTGGCTACAAATACACCTGTCAAAATGCATAAAAGTATGAGAGTTGTAAATGAATTATTAACGGTCATATAAATAAGAGGTATGCATTTGCTAGAATGAAACTTGAACAGAATAGCTTGAATCTATGTTTCATCTTTGTATAATAACAATTATAATAAAACTTCAGAAAAGTGTGCTATTGACTATTTCTAACAAATATCATGTACCACCGATCCTGCTAAAGAACTCTGATTGTGCACTTAAAACTTAAAATTGTTCAACATTTGAAGTATATATTTTTTTTGATACTGGTTCAGGGCTTCACACCAAATTTTTTAAAAGGGGGTCCAGAACAAAATTTTGTTATAGTTTGTATGTATGAGCCCTATATAAAATGTGATTATTATTATTATTATTATTATTATTATTATTATTTTATTTTTATTTATTTATTTATTTTTTTTGGGGGGGGGGGGGGGGTCCAGACTTTTATATAAGGGTGTTATTGAACCTGTCATGGTAATATTCCTGTGCAATTTTTTTACTGCACATCTCAAGTTATTTTTGTTTGTGTATATGTTTAATTGTATGAGATATACCAACAGCATGGTGGCCTCTACTTCAACAGAAGAAAAAGAAGAAAAATATCATACCTGGAATGTGTTGTCCGGCTTTGGCCTTGACTCGTTCCACCCAGCGATTGCAAGCCATGAAACTGTTCTCATTCGTCACATCCATCACCACCATCATGACAGAGGGGTGTTCCCACTTCAGAGGAGGTAGAGAAAGAGAGAGTACCGATATATCATCTTCTTTACCAATCATCAAGATGCAATGTGTTGCATATATTAGTAGTGCCATGTCATGGATGTGCATGGAGAAAACTGTTGAACTTCATAGCATTTTAACATTTAGAATGATAAAGAGTTTCTTTTCATGCAGATAACGTATTTTATAGGTGAGACTTTAAAACAAATAAACACTGTTGCACGATGAAAGGATATAAAGACCTAAAGAAAGGAAGGTTTAACAAGAAAGATGGGGGGGGGGGTAGACATTTTGTATTAGGAAGAATATCCAAGACGCTTTGCAAGATGCGCTACATGTACTTACTGCTTGCTGTGCGTAATCAGAGTACGTCTCTTTGCCTGCCGTATCGTAGATATACAGCTCCTTAACAAGACAAAAACAGAAGATTGACATTAGTAATCAAAGAAACTGTAGCAAATAATAATTTAATATAAGGAAGTGAATGACATTATTATTATCATTTTATTTGGCACTTTCAAAAGAAACAAATCAGGAATCAATATACAATGTACATAGGACATAATGAATACATACAATAATTTGACACTTGCGCACCCGAGCAGGATTAATGTCATGTCACCCAAAGGGGTATGAGAGCTGGGAAATTACTTTTCCCTATTTCTTAGCAGAGCTCACCAGCCCTTTTCTGGGCTCCTATTCCTTTGAAAGAATTACATGGTGTAACCCTGAAACTTTAGTACAATTATAATCTCTCTTTACTTGATGTAGGTAACAGTGTGTAGGTAACAATGTTTAAGTTAATGTCGTTTCATACATACCACTGTGTCATTTGTGTCTGGAATACTGATGTTCTTGACACACAGTTCTACTCCAACCGTCTTCAATTACAAAGGGAGAGAGAGAGAGAGAGAGAGAGAGAGAGAGAGGGAAGAGAGAGAGAGAGAGAGGGAGGAGAGAGAAAAATAAAATAATGATAAATGTGATCAGACAGAAAAAAACATGTTCATCAATTGGACAAAAATGTTTAGTATCATTAAAAAAAGTATATTTAAGCATTACTGGCATAATATCAAAACTAGACGAGTACTTGCACGAAATACTTTTCAAATTCTGGAAAAGACAACTTTCAAAAGTATCATATGAAAAAGTCACTGTAGTAATCCAATCATCAGTATTATTACTAGTTTACTACCATCATCATCATCATGTCCTTCATTAATGTCTTTAATATAGTTTTCTATTTTTAACTTTTTTCTCTACTATGAAACGTAATTATGTAAACCATGCATTTACCGACAAGAGAGATACTTCTACAGTTAAGATTGATACCGATTGGTTTTATTAATGTATTTTTTGAAAAAATGTATCATGACAGCTATAATTAAAATGATTCCTATCAAAACTGAAATACATTACCGGTAAGCTAGCTGAACTACAAAATCAAAAGTTAAACATAAATCAAACACTGTCGACTGTCTATAATATTTACCATTGAATAACCCTTTGGAAAATGTGCACCATCGCTGTGAAAGACCTGGGTCAACGCACTCTTACCGACAGCCGAATCCCCTGCAAGATAAATGTGTTATGTGAAGGTGGATGAATAAAATTTTACTACATTTAGAGATCGAAATTCATAAGGAAATGGGATTATGCCAAGAATAATAACTGGATTGGTCACTCTAATACATTTACTTGGTTGTTGTTCCTCCAAAAGATTCCTGGTGGAATTTAAACTGGAGGTTAAGACGAACAGAACCTACAAGAGATAAATTCTTTTTGCATGGTATCCTATTCCTGGAACAAAGGAATATTTAATCTAAAAATGGAAGGCAAAAATTGAAATAATTGTCAAAACATTGATAAATTGATTTCTTAAGACATCTTTTCCTTCTTCTTACCTGTCCCTTACTGCTTCCCTGTTGACATCACTCTTAATTTGTATGTACTCTTATTGTTTCTCTCTATACCACACTGTTTGTCTTTTCCCTTTTACTTCTAGATCTAGAACTTATTCTACTTCTCTTTCAATCTCTTTTCTTTTCCAACCTATTAAAGGTAAATAAGGATCAAAGGAGAATAAAAAACAAGAAAAAGTCATATGTTCTTTTAACAATCTCCTTTATTTTCCTTTTTCTTTCATGTTTTTTCTTCTTTCTTCTTCAGTTCATCATGTCCTTTGATATAAACTTATCTCATTTCATTTTTGTACTTCAACCTTTTCTTCCGACTCTTACTCTTCCTTTCTCTTGTTCGGTACGTTTCTTCTTCTGCCTCGCTTGTTCAGTCTAGTTCTATGGGGAGGTGGAATCCCCCATAGACATTACATGCAATAAAGTATGAACTGCTACGTACAAAATGTATGTGTGTGTGTGCAGTGCCAGTGGCTTATTTCATGAAAATGCACTTCTTCTCCCTTTTCTGCATTCTTTAGTTCTTCTAGATCTAGACCTTGATCTAGTTATTCTATTTCCTTAGATATTCTTTGATCTTCTTTGAATCTGTTTTACAATTTATTTTTCTTCTGCTTCTCGTTCTCCTTCTATCCTCATTTTCCTTTTTCTCATTCCATTCGTCTGCTTGCGAAACACCAACTGGACAACTACAAAATTACACAACACAAAATTAAGTATTCGGGACTGCACTGATGCATATTTCATTCAGGACGAACATCAACACAACACTACACGAAGCTAATGTTCACGTTAATTCCACGATATTACATAATCAACAATCAATGTGTTACTCACCGACTATGAGACATTTTGCTCTTAAAGTAACAGGCATTTTGGAAAAGAATGTGAAAATGTATCCCTGACAACACAACGCCGAATAAGATCAAGAAAATATTTGAAATGGAAATAGTTTCTCGGATGCGGCAGCTGGTTCACGGTCACCTACCCATGATGTGAGAAAGGGTACCAATCTCTATATTTCAGCCTTAAAGGTAATACAAAGTTTTGGGAAATTTTGAAAATTGGGTGGAAAGTGAATCTTTACAATTTTATATATTTGGATGCCCCTGTTGATTTATTATAAGCACTAAAAAAATTAGCCCCCAAAACACTTCTGTTTTCGAGAAAAATTGAATATAAAAATTTACCGGTGCTCCCGGTAAATTTTGATAAATTTCAGATAGCGCCTATGGCCGTACAATGGTAGCTGCGACCATGAAAATCTCAGAATATGTTGTTGTGATATACAATTTCCAAACGAGAATAGCTAATCGGTCGATTTTAGTCAAGAAACATCGTTTCATAGCTAAATTAATATCTTGACCTTGAGAGGGAGCTATACAACATAAAGAGTTTATTATTTATTATTTCACAACTTTAGACTCGATTTCAACCGCGACAACGATCAATGGATATCGTAGGAACGCATATGCTTCCAATATGTTCATTTGAACCAAATTCATGACCCCATACCAAAACTTTGTAATACCTTTAAACATATATGCTTGGAAATGGAAGTTGGTGTACTAATGGTGTACTAATGGTGTACTAGTGAAATGGAAGTTGGTGTATCTAACTCCTTTTCCAAAAATCGCATTATCATCTTTTCCTTTTTTCATTATCACTATTTTAAACCTTTCATTCAAATAAGATTAGTCTCTTTCCTATTCAAGCAGATAAAACAAATGAATCTTTTCTTTTTTCTCATATTTCTTCATAGTTGTGGTTAATGTCTCTCCTTCTCTCGATCATCACTCATTGTTTCCCTCCGCGAGCTTCGTCCAGTTCTTTATTCTTTTTCCTTTGACATATTACATAAATGAAAATATTAGCACATCGTCATTTGCTTTCTCATCTCTCTCGTCCCATTCTAAATACATGTATGTGTATTGTCCTAGGTGTCTAATATATTTTTCTTTGGTCTGTAACGTGATTTCGTTACCTCCATATTACCTGTCCATTCCTGCATTATTCTGCTCTTATACTGTATGCTTCTTTTCCCTTTTTTCACACATCTTACTCATTTTTGTTTTCTAGCTCTCATAATGATCGGGAGTAATCTGTAACATTTTTCATCTGTCATTCACGTCGCTCATCCATTTCATGTTCTTCTTTCTACGTTCTTCTGTTCTTTACCCCACCCTCCTCTCCCTTCCTGGTTTTTCTTTCTTCTTTATGTATTTTCAGTTTTTCACTCTATTATAACCTTCATATTTCTCCATCCCTTCCCATTGGTTATGCTTTGTACACCTAGCTATACACTTTTCTCTCTTCTTCAAACAATATTTATACCCAGATCTTTCTTTGCCCCACATATAACCAATGAGTTAGGAGAGTGTGGTATAACACACCTTTCTATATTGAACATTCCGTGATTCATAGTTTATCTTTACCATTTTCTCCCTCTATCACACACCTCTTCCTTTTAATACCAGTAACACAATTCTCTCCCTTTTATATTTCATCTCTCCCCCCCCCCCCCCCTCCCTCTCTCTAATACACTTCTTTCTCCTTTAAAGAAAATCTACTTTTTCTCTCCCTTTTTCATTCACTTTACTTTCCCATTTTACATTTCGCTCGCACAATTCATACTCCCGTTTTTTCTCTCTCTCTCTCTCTCTCCCTGAACTTCATCAATATGAAGCTTATACCACACAACTCAAAGAGAGAATGAGAGACTAAGCACTCATGAAATAAAACACATGGTTATGGAAACGATTCTATTATTGGTCATTCCAACAAGGTCTATTTTGAGCACACACCAAAAAAGAAAAAAATATGCGTATTAAGTTTCATCTATACATACACTGTCTCGTATTGTTTTGACATATTGAAATTCACTCCTACTGTTACAACCAAACAGTTTTGTCAAATCTCGTTCATTTCCTTAAAAAAACAACGTTCCTCTCATCCTTTCCGTCTACCTTTTCCTTGACACTGTAAACACACACAATCCTACTGCAAATATACATAAGTTTCACATTGCTATCAACTTTGCAGGAGAAAAAAAAAGAGCTACTTCTATACTTTGACAATTCTTGTTTTGTTTGAACACACTACTTCTCCTTTTCTTTTCTTTTTCCAACTATGGAAGCACAATTTGGGTTGATGAGAGAAAATAGGTTGGAAAGATGTGGCCAGTACTCAAATTGAATATATAGCTTAGAGTTCTATACAGCCTGAATGTATCAGAAGGCGAAATGGGCAGCACATGACTGTCTAGCATCAAATGTGCCAAGAAATGTTTAACAATACAACCGTCATCATCATTATTCGCTACTTTATAAGTTATTACATCGTATCTCACATTATTGTACTTGTACTTTCGAGTATTATCTTCCCCAAAATTGTATACCGGTACACTCCGAACCAAAATGATTAGTAAACTCGTATTACAAAGTACACCATATGCTATATTGCCTTATTTTCTTTTAACAACTGCCAGTCTTTCGACAGAAAAATGAACCAATGTCCACAAACAATATTTGTATTTCCAATCAATTTGTTAAATAGGATTGCAGTATGTAGCATGCAGCGACTGTTTTTTCTAGAAGACCTAATCCATGTAATTTGCCATGTTTTAAACTAAGACATCTTTAATCACAGTGTCTTGATTACAGATGATGAATTCTTGAATATTTTAACTGTTTTTTTAATGTAAAATGACAGGGCAGCAACTACTACAAGTATTAATGCACTGACTAAAATTATTACCTTTAAATTCATAAGTCTTTGGAGATAAACCAACTTTAAACATTTATCATAATGTTAGACATAGAAACTACCAATTGGCAATGTATTGAGTAGTATTCAAGCCAGTACTGACAGTTTTTGTTATGGCATAAATCAGGTTTTTCAAATCCTTTTATTTCTTTAATTGAAGTATAACTTTAAAACCTATGTACCAGATAAGGTACAACAGTTGAATCAGTTCCTTTGAATAAACTTCTTGATAAAGATTGTTGCTAATGCAAGAGAAAAGAAATATGGGCAAACGTATCCATTATGCAAATATAGCACTGATAACATGTATTATAGTCAAATAATCTAAAATTATTACTGTTTTAATTGCAACATTGCCAATCTGTACTGAGTAATCAAGACATGAAGTGGGACATAAGAAGTACACTAATTTTACAAAAACATTACCTGTATATTTCTAAGCAGTTGTTGCAAATAATTAAAGTATAAATATAATTATATCAATTAGAAAGAATCTATGAAATATGAAAAAAATGGTTTATTACATCTCCAAAATGTTTTTTGATTGTCTGATAAACTGGATGGTGTATATTGTAATACATCATCCATCAGTAATTACACAAGTAAGTAAGAATACTCCTCGAAACAGTTCGGGAAAAGTCAAATTAAGCAGTTGATCCTCTCATTGAACATGTACTGCTTTAATACAAAAGGCATATGCTCGAGATAGGAAGTTCAAATGTAATACTTTTTTCTTCTTTTTCTAGAAAGCATTCATCTCTTGCGTAAGCTTGATTACGCCATCTCAGGCCTAGGCTAGGCAGGGGTGAATGATATACAAGAGCATATCTGGGGAGGATTCGTCATGAAATAAAAAGAGAATGAAGACGTATTTTTGAAAGGCTTGATATGACATGGTCCATGGTTTGATGGCTATGTTCAGAGTATTGTCCTTTTTTTCCTTCAAATCAGGCACAAAGGGTATATGACAGTTTAAATACATTACAGAAAAGAAAGTTTTTCAGTACCACTCCATATTTAAGTACTTCAATCAAAGAATTACAGTCATTTTACATGTATTAGAAACATACTGGCAGGGTTCATTCATGTTATCCATCTAATACTCTTTTGTTCTTCTCATCTCCACTCTGTTCCAACGTATCCTGAACATTCATGTAAACATGGTAAGCAAAGCCCGTAAGAGTATCCAACAGAAAGTACAAAAATTAATGTGACTTTTACAGAATATGCGAAGACATTTTTTAAAAAAATTGGTTGACTACATCTTTAGGTTAAAGTTGCTTGTACCAGGCACATCAAGTTGATTTCACAGCAAGATTTGACAAGACTTAATTAAAGTGTCTCTCTTTTTTTTTTTTTTACATACCCATTATCAAAGTATTTAAATTCTTACATTTTCCCTTATATTTCTCTGATTTTGGTTATCACAAAGTTTTGTATACAAGTTGTTTTAAGTCAGCAATCGATAAGTATTGGCAAGTTCAGTGCACTCCATTTCCGTTTTTTCTGTTCTGCAGATACATTGCTACAAGTTGGTTCGTTCTTTCTTCCAAAGGTATCCTCTCTACTCCAAAAACACATAACAAAATAGGTGCCTACTTCTACTACACAATTACAGTATGCTATCAAGTACAGCAGCATTAAAAAAATGATAATGATAAAGCGTTACAATGAACCGGTTTCCCTTCTCATACATGAATAAACCTTGCATTGTCCCCTAAATGTTATTCCATTCATCATAAACAGAGTCATTCTCTAAAGTTGCATTTAATAGACACACAAAAAACAGAAATTAAACATTAAAATTTCATATCATAAAAACACTTACACTATTAATACAATCTTTCAGTTATTTCAAAATTTCATTGTCAAAGAAAAAACACAAAAATACAAATTCTTCCGTTAAATATAGATTCAATCTTTCTCTTTTTTTGTTTTTCTCCTTGACATATTTGAGTGTTGGGATGGTTTAGAATTACTTCAATTTGGAAGCATAGTTAGTAAGCAGGCCTCTTCTTATTACAGTTTTTTTTATTTTTCATTTGATTATCACAAATACAATAGTCATAAAGATATACGAGAGTGAAAGTAGTACGTACAGTATATAAACTGTTCAAGATAAACTATCAAAATGGTATCTTTACATGTGAGTGC